GGGGAGCCGGGAGGGGCTGGAGAGGAACGGGGGAGGGTTTGGCCCCGTGTGTGGGGAGGCTGGAGCTGCCGGGAGGGAAGGGGGTTGCTGCAGGGTGTGTGCGGGAGAGGGAGAGTGCTCCCTTCATGGGGGGATGGAGGAGAGACGGGGAGTTTCTCAGCTGCGCCGGGCTGGGTGGGCTCGGGGGTAAGGGTCGTGTGTGCTCCGAGTGGGTTGTCTGGGGTTGGAAAGGGCAGGAAGGTTCTGGAGTAGAAGTCTTGCCGAGAAGGAACTGAGGCAGCTGGGTTTGTTCAGCCTGGAGAAGTGGAGGCTGAGGAGAAATTCTCTCACTCTCTACAACTGCCTGAAAGAAGGATGGAGTGAGGGAGGGGTTGGTCTCTTCTCACAAGTAACAAGTGATAGAACAAGTTGAAATGGTCTCAGGTTGCACCAGAGGAGGTTTAGTTTGGATATTAGGGAAAATTTCTTTGCTGAGCAGGTTGTCAAGTGCTGGAACAGGCTGTCCAGGGAAGTGGGAGTCCCCATGCCTGGAGGGATCTAAAGGGGGGTTGGTCTCTTCTCACAAATAACAAGTGATAGAACAAGTGGAAATGGCCTCAGGTTGCACCAGAGGAGGTTTAGATTGGATATTAGGGAAAAATTCTTTGCTGAGCAGGTTGTCAAGTGCTGGAACAGGCTGTCCAGGGAAGTGGGAGTCCCCATGCCTGGAGGGATCTAAAAGCCCTGTAGATGTGGTGCTGAGGGACATGGGTCAGTGCTGGGTTAACAGTTGGCCTTGATGATCTTCAAGGTCTTTTCCAATCAAAATGCTTCTGTGATTCCACAATCTGCTCCAGGCTGGGGTGGGCATTGTGGCCTGGGAGTAGGACCTGCCTGGGCAGGATGGGAGCTGCCCCAGAGGGCTGGGAATGTGTTTCTTCTCAAGGCAGCTGACAGAGATGCCAGTGATTGCTGTGGAAGTCAGGAGCTTCGTGCTGAGACAGCATTCATTCTGGGAAGGGAGTAGGTCAGGAGTTGTTCAGTGTTTCTGAGCCGTGTCCCTCTGCCCACAGCAGCAGCATGAGGACCTGTCTGCTAAGAAACTGAGGCTGACCAAGCCCAGCAAGTCAGCAGCACTCCACGTTGACCTGTGCAAGGCCACCTCACCTGCAGATGCATTGCAGTACCTGCTCCAGTTTGCCAGGAAGCCTGTGGAAGTGGAGAGTGTGGAAGGGGTTGTCAGGATCCTGCTGGAACATTATTACAAGGTAGGGAAGCTGGGAGCCAAAAGTACTTCAAGAATCCTCCTTCTGCTCTTGTTTTCTTGGGGTTGGATATAGAATAGAGAGTCACAGGCTCCTGGTTGTGATTCAGTTGCCAGGAACTTGGGCTGTTGGAAGCCCTGGGTGAGGAGGGTGTATGACTAGTGCTTTATCCAAGTGATTCCTGGTCATGTTATTGGGTCCTTTTGCTGATAGTTTCCAGAGCCAGTGACAGGAACATGACTATCAGAGAATGGTGGGGGTTGGAAGGGACCTCTGGAGATCATCCAGTCCAACCCCCTTCTAGAGCAGGATTCCCTAAAGCAGATCCCACAGGAACACACCCAAGGTGGTTTGGAATGTCCCCAGGGATGGAGACTCTGCAGGCTCCCTGGGCAGCCTGTCCCAGGGCTCTGTCACCCCCACAGTCAGGAAGTATTTTCTTACATTCAGGTCAAACCTCCTGTGCTCCAGTTTGTGCCCATTGCCCCCTGTCCTGTCACTGGGCACCACTGAGCAGAGTCTGGCCCCACCCTCCTGACACCCTCTGTAGATATTTATAAGCATTGATAAGATCCCCCCTCAAGTCTCCTTTTCTCTCACCTGAACAGCCCCAGCCCTCCCTGCCTTTCCTCACAGGGCAGATGACCTGTTTTATTACTCTTAAATTAGCAAGAGACAAAGATGTGACAAGTTTTCTAGGGAACCTGGCTGTCCAGAGGTAGCTTAACTTTACCTCTTCTCTGATTTCCTTATAATAAGGGAGAAATTTAGCTACTGCTTGTTCAAACCAACACTTCTGACAAACTTCCAACACGTGATTCTTAACAGCAAAGTAACAAATAAATAGCAGAACTGATAAATCCTCTGAGATATCTAGATGTTGATCC